TATATTTACATAAAACTCGTTAAGCTATCTGTAATTATATATATATATATATATATATATATTATGACGATCAAAAAAATATAAAGATAGTTATTCTCGTATTATTACAATCGAGTTTCGCTCGGATTACTCGAGAGACATTTTAACGCGATTAAAAATGCGAGTATATGAAATTTGAGAAAATGGATTTGATTAATATTATATTATATTATTTACTTGTTTATTCTTTATTATTTCTTTTTTTCGTTATTTGTTTGATTTTTTGGAAAACGGACGCGCGCTTATCCATTTGAAACGTATAAAACTGTATCTGATCGGTTGTTCTTCAAGTTAAACCAAGGATTATTCGTATGGAATTCATTGCGCCTAAAGTTTGAACTCTGAAATTCCTTTCTACCGAATCTGACAGTCAATTAGAACGATAACATATGTGTCAATACTATTATGAAACCGAAAGGAAAAAGATATTTAAAAGGATATTAATATCGTCGATATAATCGGGAGTGTAATTTCGCTATATTATTATTATCAGTAGAAAAAGAATTTTTGAAAAATGATTTTCATAGAAATTTTGTTTACGATATAAACGTTTGATCACCGTAAAGTTAGAAATTAACAGATAATAATAAGAATCTCATTTTTGTCAATACTTTTTCTTGTAGCTCCTTCTCGTATTGGAGCCCTGAAATTATAATGACAACGCAACTATCATTTTTGGATGTGTGATAAAACGGAAGATGGCCGATTTAGGTCTCTCGTCTTTAACATTAAAAACAAAAACGCTGGTTCACGTGTTCCATCCAACAACAATATGTTAACATCAATGATGAACATTCTATTCACGTGCGTCGATTAGAAAATCAAATCGTCCAGGCTAGCAAAGATGGCGGCGGGAGTCTCGTGACATACGAGAGAACAAGAGACGAATTTAAATGTCACTTGGCGGCGTGTTCTAAAAAAGAAGAACAACAAAAAAAGAAAGATTAAAATGACGATAGGATAAATAAGAAGTGGTTTTTCGTTGCTGTTGAAAATAACGATATTTTCCATTGTTGCTAGATGAAACGATCCGTTGATATTTTGGTACTCGTAGTCAATGATTTGTTTAAAAGTCGCGTAAATGTTAAAAAGAAATAGCAAAGACGCCGAAAATGGTGAAATACTCGTCTCGAAATAAGAAAATCAAATAGAACCTCGCGTAAAGAAAAGAATAAAAGGCTTCGTAAGAGAAGTTGATTTTTGGAAATTATTATCGGTTGCAGATGGTGTTGTGTTGTGCTGGCCTATTTGAAGAAACCGCAAGCTTAAATACAAAAAAAAAAGAGGGTTGAAAGTGCGTCCGAAGGGGGAGCTTTGGTGGGAAGGACAGAACGCGTGACTTTTGTGAGGGGTAGTAACTCATCCAGCGTCAAAATCGTGTGCGTGGGAGAGAAAGAGAGATCAAAATATCAGGACAAAAAGTGAGCAGAAAAGAGAGAAGTTTTGTTGCTTGCTGATGTCCTCTAGGAGCAAGAAGTTCTCCTTAACAGCACCACCACAGTCGCATATCAATATCCGGTTTTACCACCAACGACACAATAGTATCATATCTTCATCGTTGTGTCTTTGTCGTCGTCATCAGGGAAGGCACATTTAAAAGATCTATCAAAGAAAAGGATACGGATGCGATTGTTCATTTTATGACTACTTTTTTCGGTTCTTACCTGTGCCCCATCAGAGTGTACGAGATCGACGCAACTCTGAATGTCTTCGCATATACAAAAGTTGTGCGCGGCGAGGACACAGGTTCAATATTTTTTATTCACCTTTATTTATTTAATATTATTATTTTTCATTTATTGTGATAATGTCGTTATTCAATTCCCAACTCACGAATAGGAGTTTCATTTCAATCTCTTAATATCAATTTGAAGGAGGTCCCTTATATATATGTGACAATATCATTTTTATCTTCCCTTTTAATTATGTATATATATTTTCTTTAGTCTTACGAATTTTCGGTCAGGAAAATTCTAACCGTTCCATCTTAGCATTTTATTACTGAACGGCTCGCGACAAAGTGCTAGATAATTTTTCTTATTCCTCCTTCCGGCATCCCTATTTCTTTCTTTCTTTTTTTTCCTTTCATTTGTTCATTCTTTCTTCTTTTTTTTCGCGTTACATCACGATTTCGGTCGTTGTCCTTATTTCCCAACTTCTATACCAAATATAACGTTCACGTTTGCTCGTTGATTCAAGCGTGTCCGTGATTTTCTCAAAACTGTGATAAAACATAAAGTACCTTTTCTTCTATTTTCCTTTTGTTTTTTTCTTATTTACGATCGCCGTTCTGATAGAACCGTTAGGCGATAGGCGGCGGAGGGGGCTGAGGGACGAGAGAAAGAAATCATAATTAAGACGTTTTAATAGGTATTGTCGAGGAAAAAATATATGTCACAAACTTTTAAATTGCTTTTCCTCGAAACTTTGAGCATTTTCCTGAACGAGATAAGAGTTCTAGATAAATAAAATAAATATTGTTTGCGTTAAATGATCGCGTTAAATGATCGCGTTATGATTGATTTACTCTCGACTCAATTAATATCAAATGACATTTATCTTGAACGCGTACATTTTGTATTTTTTATTAAACGAACATTCTAATTACAAACATTACGAAAAAATATATATTTTGATTTATCTAATGGGATGATTTATTAGAAAGATAAAAAAAAATACTTTTGCCATTCGAATCGTCTCGATAATATAAATGTAAAACAGACGTTTCCCTCTATGCATAGATATTTCAACCGTTGTAAAAGAAAGTCACGATTTTGATTACAAATGAAAGAATGACAAAGTAATCCTTTACCCGAATTTATCGAAGCTACCTATACGGAATGTACCAAATCTTATATGGGTAAAAAGAAATATCCGTTGTTGGTTCTTTGTTTTTCTCGTTACACAAGTTAATTTTGTGTTCGATCTCTCTCGAGAAATACCTGTTCCTTGGAGAAATCCCAAAATAATGTCCTCCCGTGTTATAATGAGAAAAAGATAGAAAAAGGGGAGAAAGTCAGATGAAAAATATGTAAATGTTACAACAATAAAGATGAAGAAAAACAATTTGTTTATTATAGATTTATAAATATAAGTGAGTGGGTTGAGCTTAATATAGAAACAATTATTTATTTTTCGATTAAAAAATAATTTTCATTTAAAAAGAAAAAGAAAACATTGTTTTGTGTCGAGATTGTTTTGTTTTATATTCGATTTATTTTATACTAGATTTAATACTCTACATATATTTTTCTATAAATAAAATGATATTATATAACATCAATTTAATTTTTCTAAATTTGCACGAATTTTGTCCAGACAACCTAATTAATATTACCAATCGTAACAGAAAACATAATAACAAACATTTGTACTGTAAGGGATTATTTTGAATTTTGAGGGTAGTTGCGGGTAGGGCGGAGAAGAAGGGGTGTATAAAAAGAGGATTTAATATCGTCCTCTGCTCGTTACACATTTACAACATTAATTCTGCAACAAGTTTTAAAGGCATTGGACATAATGGTAGAATGAAACACACACACGGTCCACACACGGTCATTATATAAATATAGTAGCGAAACTACTCGCATTATCGGATTAAACGGGGAAGCTGTAAGTCATTGGCCAATTATCTCTCTTTCTCTCTCTCCCTCTCTCTATCTTTTTCTATCCCCTCTTGTTGTCGTTGATTCAACGCGTGTAGTAAAACGTTTGAAAGTACTATAGCTGCCAATTAGAAATTAAAGATAATTCGTTAACTCTGCCTAGCATTATGTTTACCTTGATAACTTTACTTTTGGGATTATTCGTTAACTTTCTGAATCCAATCAGCGCGCGAGTTCATTCAAATGTTGACGAAAAATTGATAGAAAAGAATAGAGGATATATGAATAGATAGCTATATTCTATGCTTTCCATTTTTTCTTTTCTTCTTTTCTTCTTTTTTAATAGAAGAATTAAGGGAAAATACGAATTGGTATTTAGCCAATGAATGTAAAGCGGTCAGTCCAAGCACGAAATTCATCTCGTTTCACCGATATTTGCGGTCGAAGCGCGAAAGGTGTGGGAGAGGAGGACACAGGGTAAAGGATAAGAGGGGGAGGGAGGAAAGTTGGTTTGGTTCGATCGAATCGCCATACACGTTGTTTCCCTCACACGCAAACCACATTTTCGACTATCGACGTTGTATTAGCTAACTTCGAAAGGATTAATTTCCTTAGCGTGTAATTAATCGTTACACCCGAGAATTATCATCATCTCCCTCTGATCCTTCTGAACGAACAAATATAATCTTTTTTCGATTTTCGAATAAATTTGCACGAGAAAAAATAAGTTTATGGGATTTTTTTTATGTAAATATAATTACATTTATAAATAACAAATATTGACTGATTTTTTCTTTTTATTTTCTTTTCTTTCGTTTCGTTTTGTTTTGTTTTTTTTTTGTTTTTCAAGGAAGATTCTTTAACAAAGTGTGCGTGTATCTTTCATCGAGTGTTTCTTCTTCTTCGTCTTCTTCTACTTATACTTCCTTCAATTAACTAATGAATTAATTGCGAGAACGTTTAATGATATTATTTAATATTCCGTGAAGATGTACCGTATCTTTCGTAAACATCATTTGCCAGGAGAGAACGTATTTTTGAAGTTGTGTTAGAGAAAAGTGCACGATCACTTACTTTATATATACTCGTTCACTAAACTACTCGACACGAAAATCGTGCTGCTTGGCTCGGTATTGAATAACAGTAAACATCAACTCGGTTATTTAAAACAAGTATTAAAGGATAAAAGCATAAGAGATATAAAGTCGATAACTAAATGTTTCTTCGTGAAATAATTCTTTCTAGCGGGATTATCCTAAAACATAACTTCTTCTTCTTATTATTATTATTTTTACTTTTGTATTCATTTGGTGTTTGCAGTCAATTGAGTTATTAGATGATCCTGTCAATTTTCAGGGGCTTGAAGCGACATTGAGTGACAGCAAAAAGAAGTACGGCGACAAAGTGAATGCACTTTTGTCTGCCTGGGAGCATGTCACCAATTTCATTCCTGGGGCACCGCCAGAAGCCGCCCAGTCTCTCATAGAATGGGCTCACAAGTGAGTTTAATGCTAGACCATAATATATTATTTTCTTTTCCATCATTAAATATCTATTATAATATTTTCTATAGAAAATTCTTCGTCGTTATTGCATATACGATATTATTGAACACTTTGTCATAAATCTTTAGACATTTGTATATATGTTAACGGTTAATGCGGAAAAAAGTGAATCAAGGAGCTATGTTACGATATGCAGATGTTTCACAGATTGTTCGATTTACGAGGGCATTCTATATAGAATCGTGTTATCTCAATATGAATCGTAACATATATACACAACACACAACAGGGTAGCCCAAGAGTTAAAAGAACAGAACACAATAAGTCAATAACAGTTCATTTATAGAAAGATATGAGAATTTCTTGCTACGCAGTGTGTTGTTAAAATTGGGTCCAAATATCTGGCTAAGAAATAATTTGTTCCGTTCGTTAAAGCGATTTTTGAGATATCATGTATTCATAATATTTAAAAACATACAAAGTATGTGCCGATTTTGATGGAAAATAAGTATTTGATGAATGGGTGTCTGTTAGAAGACGTGCTTAGTTAAATATGTAATATAGTAGGACCTTTTTCCAGGCACCCATTCATTTCTAAATCGGAACGAACCTATCGGGTTATCCAATAAGATATATGAATATGCATATGTTCCTTTTATTATTATTTTCTGGTTTGTGTTTTGTAGACATACATTAAAACTGGTATTGCGCGGGGAGTGGCCAAAGTTGGCACCCGCCACGAGGACGCACCTCAGCGTAACACTACAGAGGTGCGCGTCTCACCTGGTGCAACACCCCGCTGCACCCAGGTGTACCGCCTTGATAGCTCTAGTGCACAATCCATGGACGCATCCTGCTCTCGACAGCATACTTAACGGACAACCGGATTCCGAACATGAAGAAGGTAACTTTTCTCTCTTTTCCCTCCCTTGTCTCTGGATAAGAAACCAAAAAAATCGATCGTGAAAGATCAAGTTATAGCAAACATTTTCTTTCATTGACTGACAACTGAACGGGGCCGGGGGTACTATTTTGTGTTAAAAGTGTATTATTTACAAGAAGATAATCTGCGATGTTTCTAGTTTACTTTTTACCTCATCAAAACTTTCTTTAATAACGAAATAATGTTCTGTGAACGAAACAATGACTCATGGAATGATCCATATTATTTCTATTATAATAATTGATATTGCAAGTTAAAGTTTAAGAAAAAATAATAATCTCACCCTTATATATTTGTAATATTTTCATCATTTTTATATCTATTAAGCGACAACAACATGCTATTGTAGTAGCGATAAGTTAAACATTTGTCGAATAATAATAATAATAATAATAATAATGATTCAGTTACTTTTTGTCTTGTTTTACTTAAACTTATTTTCCTTTTTTAGAATTCTGCTGTTCGGAAAAGGGCGAGCTACTGACGATGAGACTGAAAATACTTTGCGAGGACCGCTGCGAGGACATAGCGGTGAACCTCGCCGCGGCGTGCATACGCTCCCTTAGAAGAAGCGACCGATTAAGATCGCTTTCAGATTCCCATCACATTCATTACATGATCGACGTATATATTGTCCTCCTGTACAAATTGAAACGCACGCAAGATATTTTCGCTCAAGTGAGTAATTAACATGTCGGCGTACAATTTCATTTATATTTTAATTCGTTTCATTCAAATATTCTATTTTTTCTTTTTAACAATGCATTCTCTCGTTCCTACTGTGACATATCAATAAAGAATTATATATAAATTAATGTTAAATTAATGTTAAATTAATATTTAAATTTATTCAATTAAAATACTTCTCTCCTCTTTTTTTTTTCTAAATATATTTAAATATATATGAGATAAAAGTATGTCCTTTATTTATATAAATGAATTGGAGAATATTTTGGAAGTTGAGATAACAATAAAAATTATATTATCGTTTCTTTTTTTTCTTTTCTTTTTTCAGCTAAAATTAATGGATCTTAATGATGGACTTGAATTAGTACAGAGACTCAGTGGAGAAAGACCAACTAAATATGGCACAGCTCGTGTTTGGAGAAATTCTATAAAAGCTGCGGAATTGGTAGCTCAGTATCTCGTAACCGCCGGCATGGTACGACCGGTATCGGAAACTGGTGCGAATATTTTGGAGCAAATTTTTAATTCCTGGGCATTATTACATTCAAAATTGAAAGATATTACACCTACTTTACCCGGGATGATTAGAAAATTAATAGAACCTGCCGAAAGTGCTCAGCATATATACATATTCTGTGCTATACTTATCAAGCATGTGAGTACTCTACTGAAGATTAAAACTACCTACCTACTTTTACACATCTCTTTATTTAAATAAAAAATAATAATACGCGTATACCTATATAATATTATTTTTGTCTATACTTAAAATTGTTCTATTGCAGTTCGGCGATAGTATAAAGCCATTGGTGATCGAGTTATACATAAGAGCGTTAACGACTGATATGAACGAGCTGGAAAGTCAAAAGGCAAAATCGGACAAAGAGAAAGTACGAGAAACGGCTAAACGTTTAAGTACGCAATTTCTCAAATTGGCTGACATTGTTGGCAGTAATATCGGTATAGCAAGAGAATGCGTCTTAACGGCATTTTCTTTGCATCCTACCAGAGTTTGTTACGATAGGATAAAGGATATAGCGATAGCCTGTGGAAAAACTAAGCAAGATGATGGTTGTTCATTGAACGACGTTATTGAAAATGAAAAACTTCCAAATTCGTTGACAAAAGATCATTCGACAGCAGCGTTGTCGATGGGCAAAAAAAGTGAAAAGAACGTTACGGAAAGGGCAGCAGCAGGCATTTCGATATCACGTAATAGTAGCGTCCTAGAATCTTTGTCGTCGTCGTCGTCGTCGTCGTTGTCGTCGTCGTCGTCATCGTCGCCGTCGCCGTCAACGTTAACGTCCTCCTCTTCTGTTACCACAAATACCAGCACCGCAACAAGCATTACTGCTACTTCTACTTCTACCTCTACATCTAATACAACCTCCACAACATATTCTTCCTCTTCATTAGTTGCGACGATAGCTGCTTCGTCGTTTTTGTCGAATACGATAATGACCATCGCAACGCCGCCGCCAATAACTGCAGTGACAAAAAAGCCGCCCATCGATTTTCAGAACGGTCAAGTATCAAAGACCTTCGAGCGTACGGATCAATTGTTAAAAAGTATGTTAACGGCGTCGCGAAAAAACGAAAACATACCGCTAAACGAAAAGTGCCTGTTACATCCGAAAAAAAGTTCCACTACTGATGATGGCCCGTTGGGTGAGCTATGTTTCAATTGTGGCGAATTCACCGGTGACGAAACATCTAATAACAAATCTCCTAAGACAGCGGAAAACGTTGAAAGAACATTGGACGCTTTGATCTTGATTAAGGGAGACGCTGTTACGGGATCGGCGAATTATGATGAAAAATCTGTACCAAATCAAGTTCTCGATGCCGAGAAACTTGGCCTCTCGCCACAGTTATGCGACGATTTATCGGTTGTTCTCAGTAGTCCGAGGTATCATATGCTTAGTTGGGTACTGGATTGGAAAGAATTGAACAATTTGTGCGAGAGATATTTGGAGAACGCGGAAGAAATGCGGAATACGAATAAAGAGTTGAAGTATCTCAATATTGATTATTCCCAGTTCAAAGATTGGCCCTCGGAAGATGACACGAAGGATGAATTTTTTGGAATTGAAAAGGGTTACGAACAATGGGTCGATTTACCTTCCGACAGTTCGGAACAATTTGGTAGTTTTCAACCAGCAGGAGGGTACAAAAGATCTTCGACGAGACGAAGTTTGGACGACACCTCTACGACAGATTCGGACAGTGGAAGTGGTGTGCTGCGCGTTAGAAGGACAGGAAGGCAACGTAAAGTTCACAGGCTCGAATCTTCTGAAAGCGATTATGACAGCACTGAACGTAGTAAACCGAAACATTTTAGAAATCGTGCTAGCTCTGTTTCCGATTCCGATAGTAACACGCAAGATAGCCAAACCGATAGTCTCGGTAGTGATGGTTGTAGATTGGAAACTAAAAAGAAATCTAACAAATCTTCTAATAAAGACATTGGTAAGAAACGAATCAAACCGTCGAAATTAACCGTAGATTCAGTTTCGCATTTTCACATGTTGGTGAACGAAAATGTCAGGCATACATCTTCCCACGAAGACGCCAGCGGTTCCGATGTAAGTACCAATGATATAATAACCCTATTTTCTGCTGATATGGATGAAAGCAAACGGGAAACTATCAAAGGATCGGCTTATACGGCGGCAGCACCATTAATTATAACTGAAAGAAGAAGTGATCCTGCGGTACTGAAATCTTTGAGAATGTTTAGGCCACAGAATGCGAAAAAACCGACAAGGATAGCACAGATATTGCAAAAGAATTTGCTTAATAAAAGCAAAGACAATAAATTAAACGAAGAAGCCAGTAGTGTAGCCAAATTTGCGCCAATGCTGAGTACGTTGAATTTAAGTCCAAAAATTGTATTGACTAGAGCAGATGAAATTGACAGGAAATTAGTTCGTTCGAAAAAACAACAACGGCTTAGTACCGGCGATATCACTAGCGAATTGATTAATATACAAAAGACCATGCCCTTCTCGCCTAACAAAAATGTAATGACTACGTTTCAAAAACAAAAGAATTGTACTGGCAATAATTCGAGTAAAACTGATTTAGTGGGTACCGTCGTAGATAGTCGTGATTTAAGCTCCGTTAAATCTAATTTGGGTAAAAACAAATTTGATATTCTTGCAAAGGCAGTCAGAGACTCGGATATATTAGCAAAAAATGTACCAGGTTTGAATTCCTTAGATATGATGGTACCACCTAGGGTTCGATCAACCGTAAACGTTGTACAACTTTCTAGAAACATTCCACAGAGTCCTAATTCAGGTTCTACAAATAGTGGTAATACGCCTCCAAGACCGAATAGAACACCAAGCGTAGCTGGAAGTATTCAATTACCTGGTACGCCTTCTTCCGGTGGACACGATAGCGGTGTCGGGATGAGCCCAGCCGGTCAAACACCACCACCTAGATCATCTGCTTTGCCTGACATAGGCGAGGAAGCTAATCAGCCACCAGATAATACATCTTCAACGACTCCAACGAATACGATTCATTTCGATTCCGATTCAACTCCAAGAACGACAACGACAACGACGACGACGACGGTAACTATGCGACGTGCTAGCAGTCAACATCAATCTCCAAAGAAATCTCCTTCGCCTTGTTCGGCAGCGACAACAACTATAACGATAACGACCACAACAACGACATCATCGTCTTCACCGTCGCCATCCTCAACGGTCGTACCATCATCATCTTCTATCGGATCCGAACAATTACAAATAGTATGCAAACCTGACGGTACTTACCAATTGGCTTCGGTTAATCCTAACGTATTGACCAATCAAAGAAACGTCCTTACCTTGCAGAACTTAGATGACGGAAACGTTGGAAATTTTTCACGGCAGACGGCGCAACGTAGTAACACGGAAGCAACTAATAACTCGAGTAACAGAAATACCTACGACAGACTACCGTCGGTCAAAGTATCTTCCCAACCAGGTCAAAATGCAGGCTTGCCAAAATTTCAACAAGCATTCGGTAGAACGATTTACACATTATCGACTGATACGAGTAGCGGAACGGTAACTACAACGGAAGCACTTGTTCAACCAGCGTCTACGCAAAAGACAACAAATCTTTCAAAAGCTGTACAAACGTCGGTACCTAACGCACAACAGACTAATTCGGCGACAGGTATCAATGTACAATCAATAACCAACATACCTAATTTACAATTATCTACTGGCAGACAAATATTGAATATCGTTCAAAGTTCAAGCGGTAACGCAAACGCGGGGACGAATTTAAATACAAATCAAGCGTTGACGCAGCTCGTACAAAGCGTGCAGAACGCTTCCCCAGGTGTAATATATACGCACAAAATACCAGTTACGATATCAACCACAAATCCAAGCCAGATAAATATCATACCAACGATATCTCATGCTAATTCTATACCAACAGGTAGAACGCCGGTAGTAAAGTTAAATATTATCCGTACCGCTGCTCCTTTACGACCGCAAAGTATTACTGGTACGATACAGGCCGTACTTACGACTCCTAGATTGCAACAACAAGCTCAACAGAATGTCAGAACTGACAATTTGTTGAGCCCTCCAATAGAGGTACCGAATCAAGTAAGTTCAACGACTTTGGAACAACTGCGAGAATTTGAAAGTGTTTTGGAGCAAGTTAAGGAAAGGAGTACTATTCAGCCTCAATCACATCAATCTTTATCATCTACGACAACTACTACCGTACAAACGCAAACAACAACGCAATCGAATAAACAACAACCACAGCCACAACAACAACAGCAGCAGCAGCAACAACCGCCACCGCAACAGCAGCAGCAGACACAACAACAAGTATCCGTTAGCGCGCTTGCTCAACAACTTTTGATGCCAGCGCAACCAAGCGGCAATAATGAATTTTCCGGTAACGGTAACAACGTTACATTTCAACAGGACGTGTTTTCTCAAAAAGTTTCACTGGCTTATGTAAATCAAAATGCGGCAAGTGGTGGTGGCGGCGGCGGCGGCGGCACTGCTGCTGCTGCTAAGGTATCGAATTCTACGCCAGTAGTTGTGGTAACGAGTTATTGTCAACCCGTAGCTTCGCCAGCATTAAGTGTTACTTCTCAAAGTTCGTCGAGTCCGTGCGTAACTCCTGCACCTGCTCCAATTCCATCGGCTGGTAAAACACCTCCTACTCCACCTTCTTCGAAAACAGTTAAGAAATCAACGCCTAAAACTGTAAAAACAAGTGCGACGAATACGTCTAAGGCTTCGCCTATACCGAAACCACAACAAAAGCCACAGGAAGATGAACAAACGGCGCAAAGGATTTATGCTATTTTAGACGAATACGCGGAACAGTTAAGAAATTCACCGGATCTTAATAACAAACCCGCTCCGAGAAGAAGATCCAATCCACCAACCAATCCGAGTCAATCTTCCAAAAGGAAAAAATCTAGCTCGAGTAAGACGAAACCCGTGGGACAACAAACTTCGGAATTAAGTCCGAGTACGGATGATCTTGGTAGGACAATGGGGAGCGAAGATTCTTCTAGTGGTGTAGTACATGTTCAAGATAGCCCTGCAGGTTTTGTAACTACCGAAGAAGCATCTAGTAACGTAACGAACACTACCGATACCAATGCCGAAGTACGTAATCTAACCAACGATTCTAGCGACGGCGTTGAATTAAACGTTAAAAGACGCAATCTCATATTTGCCGAACCTGGTACTGGCCAACCAAGAGCTGTTATCGTTCAGGAAGCTTTACAAACTAGCTCTGTCAGCGTTAGCGAAGCTATTGCTTCGGTAACAGGAAAAGTAGGAAGTACGGCAGTCTTGGTGCCAGGTACAAACTACATCTTACCAATGAATTTAATGAAAAGTGGTCAACAATTTACGATAGTATCCAGCGGATCGAAGTTCCTTGCGACGGTGCCAGCGACGGTTAGGGCTACCGGTAATACCGGAGTATCTAATACACTGGTACTGCAATCTTTTCTAAATCAAGCTGGTAAAATCATTTCTCAACCTACCCAAGTGAAACAAGTTAAGATACCAACGTTACAAACCTTATCAAGCAATCAATCCTTAAATACTACGCAAAATGTTCAAAATGCTTCCGTCGTTATTCCACAAACGGCAACTAGCAATCAATTTTCAGGCGAAACTGTTAATGAAAAAAATAATATAATAAGTGATATCAATGTGCCGAAATCAGATGCAACAGGTTCCGGTGTTGCGGAATCAGCGACAAGTACTATCGTGGTTAATAAAACTAATCCAACTATTGGTTTGATTCAACGAAATCTTAACGAGATATCCGAAAATCAGCAAATATGTAGCGTAATTACAAGTAATCCAAATTTGGCCTTACAGAGTACGAGATTGTTTAACCCTTCTATGCATAAGATATCAACGGCCACAGGATTGAAAGCTGAAAACGTGGTCTGTCTGACACCAACGGGAACTATTGCTCATTCGACGGAAAAGAAAGCATCGCAGGAAAATCAAACGCATAATGAAAAATCAGTATCTATTCAAACAGCAGCTACGATTGCCTTAGCTTTTACTACACAATCGACAGATCCTTTAATAAATGGCAGTCAGCAGCAGCAGCAACAAAAGGATATTAAAGAATCTACTTCTGATATAATATCCGACGCTAAAATCATTTCACCTAAAACGGTTAAGAGAAAAATGGAGGATGCTGTAAGCATGCAGGAAATCGTACCTAGAAACTTAATCGCTACGAACTCTGTTGTTTGTTCTAACATCGTTACGTCGTTGCAAAATAATACAAAGATCGGCGGTAAGATTCTCTAACAAATAAACTATGAATGTTTCAAATGTATATGTTTTTGGTATGAATAATTTGGTTTATTTTTGCAGATTCCATGTCGTCTACTATTGCTTCAAGCAATAAAGATTCGTCGAGTATCGAAAATTCAACGCAATATTTAGTGACAGGTGGTGGTCCTAGTAGTTCGGACAGTCAGGAATCTCCGGTTCAACAATCCAGCGAATCGGTAGACGTATCTTGTAAAATTGGCAATGGTTTGTTATATGAGAATGCAAGATTACAAGAGGCATGGGAACCAGAAGGAAAAGTATCTCCGGATACACCATGGAGGTACGTCCCAGCGTCGACAAATCCTTTGAGTATCGAACCATTAAAGATATATTCGAGAGAAAATGATAACTCGGATAATGTACAAAGCGTGTTGCAAATAATCAATAAAGGTCAAGGAATAGAAATGGCAAGTGGCCAAGTTTATCAAACGAATACAAAGAAGTATTTTATGAATCATACTTTAGAGCCGTTTCATCAACAGTATTCGACTAAAAGTATGATGAAAAATCAATTAAATCAGAGATTAGATCGAGAATTGCTGCAGCATAAAATAGAGAAGAAAACGGCGGCGATAGAGCGTGAGCTTAGGTTGCAAAAGAGCTTATCGGAGGAGTGCGAGGATTTGGGCGTTGACGAGCCAAGTACTAGCGATTTGTTTCCAGAAGCAGACTTGTTGTTCGATACAAATCATTCACCGTCGTTCGACCATTCCTCGCAAGACGCATCTTGCAGTCAATCACTGGGGATGAAATCTTACAGCAGCAGTTCCTATTTTCGTCCTTTGGACTCCTCGAGCGGTAGCAGGGACGCCAGTCCGGTCGCTGATTTCAAATTGAACGAACGTAGAAAGAATGCGAGCCAACGTACGAGAAGTCTAAAAGATACGAGCAAAAGAAGGAAGGGTGATAACAAGGCGGCGGTCGAATTGCAACCAGAAAATCCTGCGAAACATATGCGCTTCACATTAGAAAATTTAAGCCAAGACGAGGAAGAAGGCTCTAACAGTAATTCGGATATATCAAGACTTTCCCCGACACATTTACCTATGTTGGATAACGATTCCTCGAAGGATATTAGTCGGATCAAAATGGACTCGAGGAATGGTTCGAAAGAAGGCTCGCCGATCAGTGTATCCAGTATTCCATCGAACATTAAGTTGGACATTGACCTTGATTCGGAATCATTGCCACCGAGTATAAATGTAAATAATACATCAGCCGCTAGCTCAGGGGACGAGGGTTTAACATTGCTCGGTGGTAGTACAGCTGACGTAACTATACCTTCGCCACTCTCGCCTATCGCCGGACCTCTATTGTCAACGCACAAATACACTTACGCGAATAAAAAGCGTATAGCCTCGAAAGTTACTAGGATGGATTATCTTTCTTGGGAAAGTCCCATGTCCGAAAGAACGAGGACGAGTAGCGATGAGGAGGAGTCCAGTATTAGCGATGAGGATGATAACGCATTGACGAACGGTCTCGACGATGCTCTACAGCAAACATTAAAATCCTCATCAGCCGATCGACGTTGTACATATTTGAAAAAAAAGGACAAGTTACAAGTGAATGCAAGAGTGGTATTGAACAGAGCCGATCACAAATCAGGTAGTTTCAGTAAACGTGTTAAGCCGACGGAATCTATAATCGATCCCGTCGTTCTTTGTAGCGACAAAATTTCCGAATTATCGGAGGACGAGACCGGTAATATAACGTCATTAACAGAACCAGATTGTAGAGCTAGAAGATCCAGTTTGCGTGGACACGTGAAGAAAGGTTGTGCCTGTTGCAACGGTTCACCTGAAAGACCGAAGAAAAAGACAGTTAAATCTTCGGATCATCGTTTGAAGAAGAGATTATCTTCGAAACAGGCCGCCAAGAAAAGGTAGTCCTAGCGATCTAACGCTCGCTCGTCGTCTTTTTCGTCTTATCGATATATCTTTACTCTAAGCATTTTCTTAGAACATGCTAAGGTAATGGTAAAACCTTCGAGCGATCTAAATATTATTCTTATAGTCAAACTCTTTATTGCTAATTGGAATTAACATGAGATTTTTTCATATATATTATGTACCTTGACAAGAGTAAGAGACTCGTTTGCGATCATCTTTGATCGCAATAGGTCCCTCTGAAAATTGCGTTTGTAAATAATTAGAACATGTGGAATTTGTAAGAAAGAGAAAAAAGAATAAGGGAAAGAGAGAGAGGGAACCGGGAGGGGGGGTGGGAATTTATTGTTATTTTTTTTTGTCCTGAAATATCTATCTAGTATCGAAAAAGAGTCACATTTATGATACGATTTACAACAAACGGCAAACTCTTCGTACGTACGTACGTACACTTATACATAATATAAATAATATTAAAATTGTGTTTAAATCGCTGGTAAGATATAGAGAAAAGAGAGAGACGGACTATTTATAGTGTGTTTCTCCATAAATTAAAATAGATGATCATCCTTCTTACATTAGGTGTTATTTACTATACTAGAATTTAAGGTAAACAGATCATTATGTGGATGAAAAATAATAATTAAACAAACAAAAAAATACTTAGATTACGATATTAAGATCACATTTAGAGATGCAATCTAGTCAAGAAATAACGCTGATGATTTTGAGGATGATAATTAAAGAATAATTAATGATATAAACCTGTAAAAACAATAGGACGACGATGATGATTATGATGATAATGCTAATGCTAATGCTGATGATGATAATGATAATGATGATGATGATGATGATAACGATTATGATGATGCTAATGGTAACAATGACGACGATGACGACGACGATGATGATGATGATGATGATGATGATGATGATGATGATGATGATGATGATGATGATGATGGTAATGATAGTGATTATGACAATGATGATGATGGTGATGATTATGGCGGCGATGATGATGGTGAAGATGATTATTTAGATGATGTAGTTGATGATGATGATGATGATGATGATAACGATGATTGTGATTGTAATGGTGATCATGATGGTGATGTAGATGATGATAACAAAGAAGGGATGGGAGTCAAACAAATAGGCAGCGTCGATGATGTAAGTTTGTTTGACGAAGAACATAGTTTTTAATGGAGAGAGGTCAATGAAGAAGAAAAAATGATAATGAAAGAAATGATAAGAAAAAATAATTATAATATTAAACAACAACAACACAAAACCTAAATTTTTTTTTCATCGATCATCAGTAGAGTACCCTCGCAAACTAAAAATAAATAACAAAAAAAAGCCTGGAAATTCGTAATTCTACTTGCAGTATCTATATCTATTGTAATGAGAAACTATTCCACGTTCTAACACGGTGTGGTCAGACTGAGTAGACAAATAATAATAGAGTTCTTTAATGAAGTAAAAGAAGAAGAAGAAAAAGAAAATAAATAAGTAAATAAAAGGTGGAAAGAAAGAATGAAAAGAGTACCGGGGGTTGGGAAAAATTGTGTAAAAACTACATATTCTTAAAAAAAAAATACATATTCTTAAAAAACGGCTTTACAAAAAAAATTTACAGAAACATAATAATAAGCAACAATTATGAAATGAAATAAGAGAGAAAAGAAACGGAATATAGAAATAAGGATTAGGGAAGGAGTGGGGGAACCATATAATCCTCGCCTTTTTCTGTAATGCTTCTGAAAACTTTATGATCAAAGTTATTGTCTTAAATTTCGAGACATATTGCACTGTACGAAGAGAGAGAACAAGAGAGAGAGAGAGAGAGAGAGAGAGAGAGAGAGAGAAGGAGAAAGAAAAAGAAAAAGAAAGAGAGAAAAATGATATAAGCAATGATTTGTGAAAAAAAGAAAAGGAGAGAGAGAGAGCGAGCACGTATGTGTGTGTATGTGTGTGAATATACGTATGCGTGTCGCAATAAAGATAATATATTATAACCGTTGTCTGTTGTACGGCCCAACCATACCTTATCATGAAGCATGTATAAAAAGAGAAGGAAGGAGTTAAAGGAGGAAAAAAACAAAGAAAACCACGATTGTACATTGCGTAGGTAATTCATTAAAAGTAATATTATATATCGCTGCACTTTAGTACAAAAACGCTTAATCTTATTTCAGAGTGACAGATTTATACATATATATCATTGTTTTTGTTTGTTTGTTTATTTTTGTGTATTTTTTATTTTTCTTTTTTTTTCTTTCTTTTTTTTTTTAGTCCGTGTGCTATCGTGACGTATAAATGGCAACAAAAGAAAAGAATTAATCAGAAATAAAAGAGACAGCATTTTATTAAATAATAAATCTAACTCATATGTGTAAGGGGTCACATCGTGCATAGATAGATACGCTAAGGGTTTAAAAGAAAATGAAAAAAAAAAAAAAAAAAGAAAATGAAAAAAAAAACAAAAATTATTACTTTCCGTTTCCTGAAGCATAAAAAATAAATGCGCCAGGCGGTGAAACTTTGTATCATAATTATTATTCGTACTTTTTATTAAAACAAGCAACAACAGTATTACTATAACAACAACAAAAACAAAATTATTACTACTGAAATAATAAAATAAAGCGCGCTAATAAACAAATTAAATTTATTCGAAATTTCATTGAAGTAAGTCATAGTTGATACGTCTCTCTCTCTCTCTCTCTTTCTCTTTCTCTTTGTTTTTTTATCATTATCGTAATTACAAATCTTTTTTTTTTTTTT